ACTTTCTCTTTATTTTCTCTTTGCTTTAATAAATTTTTTGTCTATTTTTGTCTAAAATTTTTTTATCCAATCAATCCCTGCGGGCGCCCATGCCCCAATGAAACTCGGACCGACATTTACTCAGTGAAAATTTTATTCAAGCTGTTCTATTATGTAATTGTTCATTTGAGAATATATTTTAATATATTATGAGATTGCTGGATTTTAAGATCAATTTAAATGAATGTTTCACCGCCAGAGGTGATTGCATGGCGAGTGGTGTGTGGGCGAGTGGTGTGTGGGCGAGTGGTGTGTGGGCGAGTGGTGTGTGGTGGCATTTCACGAGCTGCGGGTCACAGTGATTATACATGTTAACATTCAGTGGCCTGAATATCAGCATTTAGTGGTCTGAATATCAACATTTAGTGGCCTGAATATCAACATTCAGTGGTCTGAATATCAGCATTTAGTGGCCTGAATATCAACATTTAGTGGCCTGAATATCAACATTTAGTGGTCTGAATATCAACATTCAGTGGTCTGAATATCAGCATTTAGTGGCCTGAATATCAACATTTAGTGGCCTGAATATCAACATTTAGTGGCCTGAATATCAACATTTAGTGGTCTGAATATCAACATTTAATGGTCTAAATATCAGCATTTAGTGGTCTGAATATCAGCATTTAGTGGCCTGAATATCAGCATTTAGTGGCCTGAATATCAGCATTTAGTGGTCTGAATATCAACATTTAGTGGTCTGAATATCAGCATTTAGTGGCCTGAATATCAGCATTTAGTGGTCTGAATATCAACATTTAGTGGTCTGAATATCAACATTTAGTGGCCTGAATATCAGCATTTAGTTGTCTGAATATCAACATTTAGTGGTCTGAATATCAGCATTTAGTGGCCTGAATATCAACATTTAGTGGTCTGAATATCAACATTTAGTGGTCTGAATATCAGCATTTAGTGGCCTGAATATCAGCATTTAGTGGCCTGAATATCAGCATTTAGTGGTCTGAATATCAACATTTAGTGGTCTGAATATCAGCATTTAGTGGCCTGAATATCAGCATTTAGTGGTCTGATATAGTTGTAAATCACCAGACTTATAGTGCATTTAGTGGCCTGAATATCAACATTTAGTGGTCTGAATATCAACATTTAGTGGTCTGAATATCAGCATTTAGTGGCCTGAATATCAGCATTTAGTGGTCTGAATATCAGCATTTAGTGGTCTGAATATCAACATTTAGTGGTCTGAATATCAGCATTTAGTGGACTGAATATCAGCATTTAGTGGTCTGAATATCAACATTTAGTGGTCTGAATATCAGCATTTAGTGGTCTGAATATCAGCATTTAGTGGTCTGAATATCAACATTTAGTGGCCTGAATATCAGCATTTAGTGGTCTGAATATCAACATTTAGTGGTCTGAATATCAACATTTAGTGGTCTGAATATCAGCATTTAGTGGTCTGAATATCAACATTTAGTGGTCTGAATATCAGCATTTAGTGGCCTGAATATCAGCATTTAGTTGTCTGAATATCAACATTTAGTGGTCTGATTATAATAATTCAGTGGTCTGAAGTTGACATTCAGTGATCTGAATATATGCATTCAGCAGTATCTAGTTAACATGCAGTGGTCTGAAAATCAACATTCAGTGGTCTGAATATCACCATTTAGTGGTCTGAATATCATAATTCAGTGGTCTGAAGTTGACATTCAGTGATCTGAATATATGCATTCAGCTGTATCTAGTTAACATGCAGTGGTCTGAATATCAACATTCAGTGGTCTGAATATCAACATTTAGTGGTCTGAATATCATAATTCAGTGGTCTGAAGTTGACATTCAGTGATCTGAATATATGCATTCAGCTGTATCTAGTTAACATGCAGTGGTCTGAATATCAACATTCAGTGGTCTGAATATCAACATTTAGTGGTCTGAATATCATAATTCAGTGGTCTGAAGTTGACATTCAGTGATCTGAATATATGCATTCAGCTGTATCTAGTTAACATGCAGTGGTCTGAATATCAACATTCAGATGTCAGAATATCATAATTCAGTGGTCTGAATATCATAATTCAGTGGTCTGAAGTTGACATTCAGTGATCTGAATGTATACATTCAGGTGTCTTTAGTTCAAATTCAGTGGTCTGTATATCAACACTAAGTGGTTTGAAGTTGAAATTCAGTTG